GAGAGACACTACCCTACAGAGCAAACTACTGAATCGACCCAACATCACCGTAAATGAAGCCATTGCTGAAGCAACCGCAGCTGAAGCAGCGAAGAAATCAGCGGCTACAATGCGACAAATGAATACAGCCAACAGCCCAAGCCAGAGCAGAGAAAAGAAAACGGAAGGTACCCAGAAACATACTACTGCAACCACCTACCATGAAGACATCGATTCATCAACCGACACCGAGGACGAAGACAAAGAGGTACATAGGCTCCAGTCAGAACGGAACCAGCAAGAAAAAAGAGGAAGAAAACCTGAATTTCAGTGTGCCAGATGTGGAAGAAATCATCCGCGTTCTGATTGCTGTTTTTTTGGACACCCTCTGCAGACACTGCGAAAAACAGGGGCACATAGCAAGGGTCTGCCGAAACAAAAAGAGCTATAGTCCTAAAAGACAAGGCAGCACCCCACCCCCAGAACTAAGGAGAGAAAAACTGGAAGTCGCTGGAGCCAAGAAAATAGAAGCCAGCGACTCAACGAGAATGAAGAAACACACCAGACAATTATCATTGGAAATGCCAGAGCAACTGATGCAAAGAAGGTTCGCATAAACGTCAAAATAGAGGGAGAGCCATGTGAAATGGAAATGGACTCAGGCTCATATCTGTCAGTGGTATCATGGAACATGATAAAAAACTTGATACCAGGCATACAAAGAAAAGAACTTGAAGAGCAAAGCCTGACGTTAAAAAACTATCAAGGAAATAAGATTCCGGTAGTTGGACTGGGACATTTCAAAATAACATTCAAGAAACATACTGAGGTCCTCCCATTGATGATCGTCGACCGAGACCGCCCCAGCCTGCTCGGTTTAGAATGGTTCGCGCCTTTGGGGATCAAAGTGACAGGAATCAACAGCGTCACCGACACAGACTGGGAAGAAAGTCTGATGAAGGAGTTCCAGGACGTATTCGATGGGACGCTAGGCAAGTACCGTGAGACCCCTATCTCATTTAGCCTGAACCCAAACATAGCCCCCATCCGGCTAAAGAACAGATGCATCCCCTTTGCTTTAAAGCCAAAAATCGATGAGCAGCTGAACAAACTCATCGCACAAAGGGTACTAGAGCCAATCGACCATGCAAGATGGGAAACCCTGATTGTGACTCCTGTAAAACCAGATGGGTCCGTGCACATCTGTGGTGACTATAAGGCCACCCTAAACCATGCATTGCAGCAGAGCGCATACCCCGTTCCAGTAGTCCAGCACCTCTTGCACTCGTTGGGGGGAGGAAAAGTTTTTGCAAAGCTCGATCTCGCGCAGGGATATCAACAATTGCCAGTTGATTCCAAGACGGCAGAGGCACAGACTATTGTAACACATAGGGGGGCATTTAAATGCAACAGATTGCAATTTGGTGTCAGCATAGCCCCAGGCATTTTCCAAAGCCTGATGGAACACCTCCTACAAGGACTAAAAGGGGTGGTCCCCTATTTCGATGATGTATTGATATCCGCCGGAAATAAAAAACAACTAAAGGACCGGTTGAGGGCAGTCTTGCAAAAGTTTAGAGAAGCAGGACTCAAGGTCAAAAAAGAAAAATGCCAACTTGTCACAAATCAGGTTGAGTTCCTAGGATACCTTATTGACGAAGCAGGAATCCACCCCACTGAAAAAAAAGTAAGAGCGATAAAAGAAGCACCCAGACCCAAAAACAAAACAGACTTACAGGCATTCTTGGGACTCATTAATTTTTATAATGTCTTTTTGCTGCAGAAGGCAACAATAGCGGAACCACTGCATAGACTACTCGATAAAAAAGCCACCTGGGCCTGTGGCCAACGAGAAGAAGCCGCATTCCAAAGAATTAAAGACTTAATAACGTCCGAATCTGTATTAATCCAATACAGCGACACGCTACCACTGACTGTCACCTGTGACGCATCACCTCTTGGCGTCGGCGCAATACTTAGCCACACACTTCCTGATGGCAGAGAGGCACCGATCACCTTTTACTCCAAAACGCTGTCGAAAGCTGAAAGACACTACAGCCAACTGGACAGAGAAGCCTTGGCCGTTATCTCAGGGATTAAACGTTTTCACAAATACCTTTATAGTAGGACATTTTCCTTAATTACTGACCACAAGCCACTGTTAGGAATCCTGGCAGGAGATAGAGCCACCCCCAACATCCTGTCCCCAAGGATGACACGATGGTTGGAATTCCTTGCAGCCTACAACTACAAGCTCGTCCATCGCCCAGAAAAAGCCATACCCCACACCGATGCACTGAGCCGTTCACCTCTACCAGACCTGGACAACGACCCAGCTCCCACCACACACATCCTACAAATTGAAACATTATCGAACCTGCCTCTCACCACATCGGACATCGCAAGGGAAACTGCAAAATACACACTAATGGCCCGAATCCTGAACTGGGTAGGGAAGGATTGGCCGGAAAATGACAAGAACGAGACTTTTAAACCATTCAGAACCCGACAAACTGAGCTGTCAATTGAAAAAGGATGTATACTGTGGGGGGATAGGGTTGTTGTTCCAAGAAAACTACAGGAAGACATGCTGAACATGTTACATGAGGGACACCTGGGTATGGTAAAAATGAAGTCCCTGGCCAGAAGCTACGTCTGGTGGCCAGGGATGGACAAAGACATTGAAACATGGGTGAAAACTTGTAATAAATGCCAGAAATCCAGACCTACACCCCCTTTAGCACCGGTCCTCGACTGGGAGACACCCAGAGGTCCCTGGTTGAGGATCCACATAGACTTCGCCGGACCCACTAAGGGATATACATTTTTAATCATCATCGAACTGGTTGGAGGTCAGCATCATGAGTTCAACAACGACTGAAGCCATCACCAAACAACTAAGAAAACTTTTCACCACGCATGGATTACCAGACTTGTTAGTATCAGACAATGGCCCACAGTTCACAGCTTTAGCTTTTGAACAATTCCTCACAGAACAAGGCATACGACATGCCCTGACAGCGCCAGCTCACCCGGCATCAAACGGACGGGCGGAACACATGGTTCGATACACAAAAGAAGCATTACAAAAACTTGACACAGGTGACATACAAGACAAAATAAATACAATGCTCACAATCCAACATATAATGCCGAGCACATCAACAAACAAGAGTCCAGCTGAACTTTTAATGGGCAGAAAATTGCGGACATATTTGGACAGACTTCACCCCACCTACAACCCTGAGAAGCCACCAGACTCCTCCAGTAAGTACCGCATGTTTATATCAGGCGACCTGGTATACGTGAAAAATCTTACTGGAGACCCATTGTAGTTGCCGGCCACAATAATGCAAATAACAGGCCCTCGGTCGTACCGAATGGATGGCAGAACCTGGAAAAGGCATATAGACCAACTACGGTCCCGAAACCTCGAACGCAACTCCAACACACCACGAAACTTAGAACAAACCCATACACAAAATCCAATAACTAATAATAAAACTAGAGGGGGGGACACCCTTAAATAATAAAGAAAGGAAAGACCCTCCATTAACACGATTAAAAACAAGCCACCAATCAGTAACAGAAAGCCCAAGAACAAATAAAAACTACTTACCAACAGGCGAATTTGGAAGAAGGGAGCTGGAGGAAGACCAAGGAAGAGGCAGCCGAACCGACTCTACCTGCCCAGGTAAGCCAGGAGGGAGCAGCAAAGCCAACTCAACCAACCTGAAAAGGCCCGGCGGGAGTGGCATAGCTGACTCACCCTTCCAGGAGGTTCCAGAGAGAAGGACAGGAGAGACATCGATCCCGTCCAAACCTACTGAAGACAACACAGAGACTGAGCTGCGCAGGTCAAGTAGGACCCACAAAAGCCCCACCTACTTACATGACTATGTCACGTAAAGTTGGACCGAACCAAGAGGGGAGGGGTGTTGTATATAGACATTTGCATACTCGTAATACTACGTTCCGATTGGACGACCACTGACACCTAGTGATTGGTGGTTAACAACATGTTATGATTGGCTGCCTAAATGGCGGGAGGTTTAAAATGATGCCATTGGTTGTGAGCCGCGAGCAGCCGCTATAAAAGAGGCTGCCACGGCTCGAGTTTAGTTGAAGTTACTGACAGTTAATAAAGAGCTGAACTCAACTCTGGTCTCAAGTCTATCTTTGTTGTGGCGATAGAACATTTTTTTTTTACTATAGGCAAAGAAAAAGGGATAGTTAAAATCTTTTCTTCTCAGTTAAGCTTCCAGTTCCCATAGTTAGAGAAGGAGGATCTGAGGCTACCTATGTTCATATTATAGGCGCAATGGTGGGATTCATAATTTTCTATTACTGGTTCTGTGGTGTGGCTTGGTGGGTGTGTCATGGCTTGGTGGGTGTGGCTTGGTGGGCGTGGCAAGGGAAGGAACTGCATAATCCTCATTGCCTCCCCACCCCACTAACCTGCTTTCCAGCTCCATTCTCCTGTGCAGAGCAACCAAAGAAGACCCAGCCGATCAGCTGGGACTCGGGAGGCAGAGAATAGATGGGGGCGGGGCCAGTAAGAGGTGGGATTTGCCAGTTGTCTGAACTACTCAAATCTTCTGCTACTGGTTCTCCAGAACTGGTCAGAACCTGCTGACTACCACCTCTGCATAGGTGTAACCAGATCACTTACCAACCTAGCAATTACATTTAGAAAACACACAAAACTCGGTTAGTTTTATGTTGGTTTGGGGTGATGTTTGTGCTTTTGTTTCATGAACTATTTGGTTAGTTTGCGGTTCCCTATACAGGGATTGCACAAATCCAGAAAGTGGACCATAAAATCTGACGAGAAGATAAATCTCAAAGATGCTTTGAACTGACTGTCTCCTGATTAGTGAAAGAGCTTGTTGGATTAGTAGTTCCTCCTAATCTTTCACTACTCTTTCTCCTAAGGATTTTCGGAGATCTAAGCTCTAGGACTAAAACATGTTTTTGTGAGTTTTTTTGCTACCAACGTTTTCCGCTGCTTTCCTCTACAGCCTCATAGACAACAACTGCATTTCAGGATGTCAACAGGGCCTGTATTTGAAGAAGGAACTTCTGCAATGCGAGGGCTGCCAGTCGGACTGCAGGACGTGTACAGGTAAATTAACAATCACCAAGAACTCTAGTTGACCTCTTTATCTAAATCAATAACTAGCAGGTGAGGAAGAGGAGAAATAAGAAGGAATTATGTAGGGTTTTTCCCCACTCAAAACCCCCAGGTAAGCTATACCTAGTCTGGTAACTGAGGTTTCATTCTGAACATGTCATGAAAATGTGATCTTCATTAATCATTCTTGGGGACAGATCCATTCTGCTAGGGTTTCAGAATGTTCAAGTTGATTTGAAAGGCTACAACAAATAAGAGGTCAACAAATTTTCCAAAGCACCAGAAGGCAAGACGAGAAACAGTGGTTTATATACAGAAATATATGTGGTAGGCAAAATAACTTACAAGCAAGCAAACTTAACTCTACAAACAGAGAATTCTGCAATAAATACCGGACACAAGGAGAGAGAATACACCCTCTAATGGCTGTCTTTATATAAATACTTCTGTCTTAAAGGGAAATACCCATGCTATGCTGATTCATTCCTATTGCATCAGCTACATCTGGTCAGCTTCACTGCTGGTCAGCTCTTAAATCCCAAGACCTTAACAGAAGCTAATCAAGGAGAGAGCCAACCTAGAACTAAGGAGATATTTCCTAACAGTGAGAACAATTAATCAGTGGAATGGCTTGCCTCCAGAAGTTGTGGGTGCTCCATCATTGGAGGCTTTTAAGAAGAGGGTGAACAGCCACTTGTCTGAATTGGTATAGGGTCTCCTACTTGAGCAGCGAGTTGGACTGGAAGACCTCCAAGGTCCCTTCCAACTCTGTTATTCTGTTATCACCATTTGGCCCATCCTAGGATTTATATTAGACTGCAAGAACAAGAGAGAATTGTAAAATAAAGAACAAGAGCCATTTAATGCATAGAACAACATCTGACATGGTTTGCACATCGCACTATTTGTCTGAGATGTGAAAACAACTGCAATCATGATGAATTAACCCTGCCAGTAGTGATTTATTCATCAAACTACAGTTGAGCAACCCTTGCCTTAGCATGTATTAATCCAGTTTATATCACCTAAAATTAGTTTGTATCCAGCAGCTTCTGAGGCTGTTCGTGTCCTATCAACCTCAAAGAAGAACAATTGATTCTTTCTTACCTCTAACTTGTAAGGAAAATCTGGATTTTTTATTTCTAACTATGCTTTTTGTGATGCTTAAAATATCTGTTCTGAGCATTACCTCAAATTGCACTTTTATTTAGGATTTTATTAGATGGAGTGGTTCCTAATATATCCTCCTTTGTATTCCATTATGTTTACTCCTTTTGTCTTTGTCTTTTTTTATTATTATTTTGGAGTATTATAGTTTATACTGCTTTAAAGAAAGAAGTCTTACCTTTTCACGGGTCTGAATGGGCAGCATTAAGTGCTTGTAAGAAGTATCGCTCAAAGGAGCAAAGAACTTCAGCCTTACATGGCAAGCATCCATAGCCTCCTTTTCAAAATCCACAGACAATAATTTCACAGCAAATATATGCAACACTGAGGGAAGATTGGAATTACTGAGAACTGGATGTCTCCTGTATCCAGAAAGTTTAGCCATGGTCTAAAATCACTTTCAAAAAAAAATTCTGAATTCCCAAGATTCGATCCCTATCAAATCCAGATTCTGGCATGTCCCTGATTTTCACTTATAACTGGTTCCATATTCTCAAACAGAATTATTTTTCCCCTGAAACACCTTCTGTTCATTGCATCCTCATATCTCATGGTTAGAGAACAGCACATAAGAGAGGGTGCTGTTACTGTGAACCACAGTCTTCCTGCCTTCAGACAATCAATTGATTTTATTTTTCTAGGGTGAAAAGGAACTTCTCACACCCCACTCAAGTACTATTCTCCAAAATTATTCTTGGCCCTATCCATATGGGTGACATAGGTCTTTCTCCTTGGTGTCATTATCTTGCTCACTCCAACCCTTATCCCCTGTCTTCCAAATCTGCTAAGAGTAACTTTCATTGCATTCTCTGATGCAAAAAAAAGGCTATCCAAAGAGTTTCTTGGCCTGCAGATGAGAAGCTAAATAAGTCATCTTCTTTCCATCTGGGAAAAATTGCAATGATTTCAGCTTATGCTTCATGTTGATATTATTCCACCAAAAATTGCCCAGGGTGTTCATTGATGCGCCATATTTTTAAAGAATGAATGTCTCACAAATGGATATATCTTGGCCACCAATGAGACAGAGAGTCATATCAAAGCATATCAAAAGAGAGAATCATATCAAAGTAACCTTGAACCAAGGAGAAATTTCCCAATGGTGAGAGCAATCAACCAATGGAATGTTGTCAATTTATTTTCCAAAGCACCGGAGGGCAGGATGAGGAACAATGGATGGAAACTAATAAAGGAGAGAAGCAACCTAGAACTAAGGAGAAACTTCCTAACAGTGAGGACAATCAACCAGTGGAAGAGCTTTCCTCCAGAAAGTATAGGCTTTTCATCACTAAAGGTTTTTAATAAGAGACTGGACAGTCACTTGTCTGAAATGTTATAGGGTCTCTTGTTTGAGCAGGGGTTTGAGCTAAAAGACCTCCAAGGTCCCTTCCAACTCCATTATTCTATGTTCTGTGTTTGAATTCTGCATAGTTCTCAAGAATCTAGCAACTCCTACGCAGAATCGCTTTGCAGAGTGAGATGGGTGGCATGTAAATGTAATAAATAAATAAAATTCCTCCTCCCCACCCCTCATTTTGCACCTGCAACTTTCCTGACTGTGGAACCACGTTTTTCCCATGATCCTTAGGACCGAGCCAAGAAGAATGTCTCCAGTGTACCAAGAAGGTCCATGAGTGGAGGTGCGTCCCGACATGCGGAGAAGGCTATTATTATGACGAGAGGCTTGGAGTACCGTTCAGAGTTTGCCGAAGGTAATTATCTGCTTTGGAAACCCGTTATGGAGGCTTTTAGAAAAGTGGTCTGGGAATGAGTTGGAACCCTTGCTGAGCAATCTGCTCTGACACATTGCAAATATAAGTCTTCCATCTTGACTGTCTAAAATTGCTCTGATGTTGTGAGATTTACGGAGGGAGGAAAAAGAAAAGCCAGGCGCTCAGATCTTTCCACAAGAAGGCCATTTAGAGTTCCTTCTGCAAATTTTGGAATCTGATTTCCTTCTTGCCAGCTCCCCACGTGCTCATCAATCGGATATTGGCCCTCCTTAACTTCCTGCAACATCTGCTCCCAGAACAAAAGATGCAGGTGGAAGGAGGCCCTTTGCTGCGAAGGGAGCTTTTATGAAATGTTTTCCTCTACAAAGGATAAAACTCAGGGGCCAGAGCTCAGGTTTTGGGCCTGAAAATTCTCGTTTTCAGCCAGATGGCTCTTCTGATACTCCTAGAAAGAAAGAAAAAAACCTGAGAAGCTTAATCAGCACCTGGCTTGCAAATCTTGATGTTGGAAACCCCAACTGTTTGCTGAGTAGTGGTACTTGGGAAAGACCTTGGGAGAGTAGGCAAAGAGAGGCTGCCTGTTCTGACCCAACTCCCCAAACATGACAGACCCTCTGAAGTTAACTCAAAGATTCCTTTATTAGGAGTGCCAGCAGCCTTGGCAAAGAATTCTCTCTTACTGCAGGTTAACAGGGTTGGCAGGGAGATGAAGAGTTGTCTGTCACACCTATTCATCTCTGCCCCCTGCCTTTTACCCCCAGAGCGAAGGTGGAGCTTCACTAGCAGCAGTTGTTCTTCCATCCCCAGGACCAGCCCATAGATTTCCACTGCTGTCCTCTCCTCTGCCTTCTGTGCATCTGCATGTCAGGCACTGGACCCAGCTCTTCCTCCTCTTCCTCATCAGCCACCTGCAGACCTGGCGGCTGTTGACTCTCCATCTGAGGGCTGACAGACAGCCCAGGCTCTGCCTCGGCCTCTCTCTCTCCCTCTGCCAGCTCCATTCCCTCTCCCCCTCAGAGCTCTCAGGTTGCCTTGATGCTGACTCTGACTCCCACACCTCTTTCTCCTCTGATTCGGCTGCTGGAGGGAGAGGTGGCCAACAGGCCACAGCGCTGCTAAAGAAATGATCAGATAAGAGACAGCAGAGCCCACCGCTGCATAATGGGTGGAGAAAGAGGCTCAGAGGAGATCTTCTCTAGTATCTCAGGCTGTATATAGATGGGGATGGGGTGTTGTACATTCGTACTTGCCAAGATTCTGTCAATGTAGCTTTACAATAAAGTAGAATTAGCTCATCTTGTTGTCATTCTTATCTGATTTCTCCTGCGAGGCTGACAGGTAAGGCATCATGTTGGGAAAGCTGATGTGGACGGAAGAAACTAGTTTGCTTTAAAGCAGCTTCCACTTTTTAATAGTGCATGTAGATAAAATGGCACAAGGGTTAGAATGCAGTATTGTAGCCAAAATCTGCCTGTAGTCTGGAGTTCAATCCTGACTGGCTCAAGGTTGACTCAGCCTTCCATGCTTCCAAACTCAGTACAATGATAATCGAGATTTTGGGGGTCAATATGCTGACATTCCAAATTGCTTAGAGAGTTCTGTAAAACACTATGGGACAGTATATAACTCTAAAAGTTATTGCTATAGACATAGGTAGAATTATGAAATAGAGATCAGTTGTCTTTGTTCATTGTTCTTCTAGGAATTTTTAACATATTGTTTGCTTAACCTTCATTTTTTTTGAATAAACCCCAAAATTGGGTTCCACATGCTAAGCAAAAATTAACTAGCATGGCTCAGTACTATATAATGTGGCTTATTTTTGGCTTATTATGCACAAACCTAACTATTATTTGTGCTTTAATTTGTTGCATGAACATAGTCAATGGTGGCTTATTGAACAAACCACAATTAAAGCAATGTGCGAATCATACCCCTCCTTAAATTAAAATTGTGTGTGTGTGTGTATTTCTTGATTGGTTGATGGAGTTGATGTTTGCAGATTGGTTGGCTTTTTCATAAGAACATGTGTGGCTGAGGTATTGGCTGTGTGTCTATCAGCAGAAATAACAACACAGCCAACCAGCCCACTTACAACAGAGCCAGCACACACCTCTCCACCAATATTTATAGAGAGACGGCAGCTCCGATCATGCTTTGCTCGTACAAGCACGAAGCTGAAAGCACAAGCCTGAAGATGGCGAGTGGACCTTGTTGAAACATTGCCAAGATACTCTCAATCTTACAAGGGAAAAGACCCGAACACGCCAAGACCTGCAGACCTGTTCCCGTGAAAATCTACGGAAACATATATATGATAGTTATCTTTTATTGTCAGGTGTGAAGATAACTGCTTAAATTGTGATGGCTCTGGGAGAAACTGTTCCAGATGTAAAGAAGGATTTTATCTGCTGAGTGGCTCATGCATCGCTAGCGACAGATGTCACAATGGTATGTATTTCCATGGATTGTTAGTAAATGAAACAATGTCGGCTGGGTATGTGGCTACAGGTAGTGGAATGTAAGAATAGGAGAAGCCATAAGAGGTAACATTTTGAATGGGGTCTAACTTGGCATGACCAGCACACCACGGCCAACTCACCATGGCCAATTTGCATCAGCCAAATGGCTGCAGGACAAGAGTAACACTCATATCAAAGGAATGGCAGAATAGAATCTTTAAAGAAAGGATGCCAAATGAGGAACAAAATAATATGTGAATGACAAAAATTAAAATAATTTTAAATACTCGAATTGAATTGTTGAATTGTGCCACAGTGAGTCGTCCCATGGAGAGTTGTCTTGCTGCGAGCTGGCCCTTGTGAGTTGGCCATGACGAGTTGGCCGCGGCGAGTTGTCCTTTTCCATTTTGAATGTGTGGGGTTTGGTGGTGAGCAGCAGAGGGAAAAAAAGGAGAATGCTGTGGTTCAAACAGAATCAGATGTTTCATATCGAAATGAAAAGCAGCAGATTGAGAAGAAAATAAATGGAGGCTGTAAGAATTCGCTTTCCAATTGCTAGGCCATTGCTAGATCTGCATGCCTCCATTCCCCAGAATCTCATCATTTTCTTCAACCAGATGTTCCTCCTTCTTTTTTTCTTCTATGCATTGAAGAGGAAGGCAATTTTAATTGCTTTTGTGGCTGAAATTTGGTATTTATGGAATATATAATGAAGCTTACTGGGATTAAATTGGGGTCAGAGTCCTGGATTGAGAAAAATTAGTGATGTGAAAACGAGCAGGTAGAGCTATCAGTGTCACTTCTTTTGATATCAGAATCTAGCCCTGAGCTGCTGCTGCTGAAGGACAGGGAGGATTTGCATATTCAGAGCCACATGTTAAACGTTAATTGTTCATTCTTAAATCTCATGGCGGGCTTGAGTGGCCAGCCTGTTTGAATGATTAGAATCATGCTGCAGCAGTTACGAGGAATCTAAAATTTATTTTACCTCACTGCCAGGGTGGGTGGATAGAGTGATTATGTTTGAACCTGCTGCAGTTGCTTTGTAGTTTTGTATTTCTGCAATATAATTATTACGTGGGAGGGACCCACTGCTTGGTAGGCAGAGCTTCTTCTTTGTGTGCGAAAGGTCTAATTCAACCCCTGAACTACACCTTCTGTTGCTCTCTGGAAGCCTGACAACTGGGATCATAAGACTGCGTGGGCCAAATTGAGTTCATTGGGGAAGCTTTGATAAATGTACAGGTGATCCTCGACATAACGGCCACAACGGAACCCAACATTTCTGCTGCTAAGTGAAACATTTGTGAAGTGATTTGGTTCCCATTTTATGATCTTTTCTTGCCCCAGTTGCTAAGTGAACCATTGCAGTTGTTAAGTTAGAAACATGGGCCTTAAGTGAATTTGCCTTCCCCATTGACTTTGCTCATCAGAAGGTCACAAAAGCAGATCACATGGCCCCCCGAGACCACAGGTGGTCTTTAGCAGGTTCTCACCGGTTCTGGAGAACCAGTAGTGGAAATTTTGAGTAGTTTGGAGAACCGGCAAATACCACCTCTGACTGGCCTTGCCAACCCCACCTATTGTCTGCCTCCCATTGAGTCCCAGCTGATCAGCTGGGTCTTCTTTGGTTGCTCTGCACAGGAGAATGGAGCTGGAAAGCAGGTTAGTGGGGTGGGGAGGAAATGGGATTTTGCAGTAACCTTCCCCTGCCACACCCACAAGCCATGCCCACCAAAGTGCTAGTAAAAAAAAATTGATTCCCACCACTGTTCCTTACGCTAGAACAAAGGTCTCCAAACCTGGCAACTTTAAGACTTGGGGACTTCAACTCCCAGAGTTCTCCAGCCAGCCGTTCTGGAAGTTGAAGTCCACAAGTCTTAAAGTTGCCACGTTTGGGGACCCCTGCGCTAGAACAACCTCAGAATACAAAATCTGGCCAGGGGTGGAAGAGTGGTTTTGTATCCAGATAGCCCTGAACTTACGACTATTCGTTTAGTGCCCATTTAAAGTTACAGCGGCACTAAAAGAAGAGACTTATGATCGTTTTTCACTCTACAACCATTACCGCATTCCATGGTCATGTGATCAAAATCCAGCTAGTTGGCAACTGGCATGTACCCCTGGGGTTACGTGACACCACATCGTCACTTCCTGACAAGGCAAGTCAAGGGGAAAGCCAGATTCACCCAACAGCCGTTGTTTCTAACTTAACAAGGGCAATGATTCACTTAGCAACCATAGCAAGAAAGAGCATAAAATGGGGCAAAACTCACTTAACGACTGCCTTGCTTGGCAAGAGAAATTTGGGGCTGAATGGTGGTGTTCAGGTGAGGATTACCTGCCCTGGAGACGGATGTCTCTTGAAAGCTAGACTTTAGAATAATGGGACGTTGCCTTCCTTTGAGCTCATCCATCAGAATAAAAGTCTGTAGAAATTCTCAGTCATCCAGATTGGGCTTGTCCCAAAAGTGCTTTTTTCTTTTTCCAGGAGGCAACTGGACTTTCTTGTTTTTTCTTCTTTGAAGACATTTAGCTTCTCATCCAAGAAGCTTCTTCAACTCTGACAGGATAGTGGGGAATGGAAGGATTTGTATGCTATCGGCAAGGAATCAGGGGTGGGCTTCCAAAATTTCAGCAACCGGTTTTCTACCTGGTTGCTGGGTGGGTGTGGCCATGGTGGGCGTGGCCTAGTCGGCCTCCTGCACCATGGCAGGGGGGACACACATTTTCGCCCTCCCCGGGCTCTGGAGGCTTTTCTTGAGCTTCCAGAGGGTGAAAACGACCTTCCCCGGGCTCCGGAGGCCCTCCAGAGGACGGAAACAGGCCCACTTCCGGCCTTCCAGAGCCTCTGGGATGCCCGTTTTTCCCCCTCCCCGAGCCTCCGTGCAGGCCCTGCACTTACCTCATATCCAAAACGGGCCGCATGGAGACTCCTGGGAGGGGCGGGGTGCGAGGGACAGAGCAGGGTGGGCGCGGCCAGCCAGGGATGGGATTTGGTGGTTTTCCGAACCGGCCATAACATTAGCTACAGGTTTGCCCGAACTCAGGCAAATCCATAGCAGCCCACCCCTGCAAGGAATAGAAATTCTTCCATTCCTCACCATCCTGTTAGAGCTGAAGAAGCTTCTTGGATGAGAAGCGAAACGTCTTCAAAGAAGAAGAAACAAGGCCAGAAAAAGCACCTTTGGGACATCATCAAAATAGTTTTTCTACTCTTACAAATTCTAGGGTTCCCCCCCTCCAGTGGAAATGCTAATCTATGTTCTCTCTTCCTGCTGTTTCCTTTTTTTCCAAAATGCACATTCCTTCAGGTGACGAGATGTTCTGCGAGATGGTGAAATCCAACAAGTTATGTGAACGCAAACCGTTTATACAGTTTTGCTGTCGGACATGCTTATTGGCTGGCTAAGCTGGCATTTATTATCTGCCATCTGGAACTCCTAATGTGCCAGCTCCTTCCAGCAAAAAGTATCCTCTCACCTTTTTCCTTTTTTCCTTTTCCATTCCCACTCCCACCCTGGTGTAAGCCTTCATCTAGTCCAACCTCGCCTCGCAACTCAGCTTCTTTCACTATCACCTACAAGTTTGGTTCCTACCGTGTAGCCACTATGGGTCCTAGATAGTGTGATGGCTTTGCTTGCTGCGTCTTGACCAAAAACAAATAAATTAAGAGGCCAACAGGTGATGTAAATCCTTCTCAGACATGTCTGGCGAGTGGAGATGCACACAACCTCAGCTTCACTCATGCTAGCCAACTTGTCACATTTTGTAAAAGAAGAATGCAGATGTACCTCCTTTCTGCATTTCCCCCCCCCCAAAAAAATGAAAGAGTGTTTCATCCTTCTCCCTCCTAAACCTTTTAGAATAGTTTACAGATGCCTAGAATATCTGCCTTAGATTTGCATTCTCACCACTGCGACGTCAGGCCGCGATACGATTCATTTCCACAAAGTTGTGCTGGAAAATAGGTGCATTCCCCATTGTCTTTGGGTGGTTTTAGCTTCATGGTGACCAAAGAAGGATTTCTGGAATTGGCAGGGAAGATTGATCTCTTCTTAGCCACCACCACCCCTACACTCTTCTTCTCCCTGTGCACTGATCTCAACAATCACAACCTGCTATAGAAGAGCTGGTGTGTTGCCTACGACTCTGGTCGACCGGATTTGAAGCCATCGCTGAAAAATAGCTGGTAATGGGCTAGACTCTTGACTCTGCAGAGGTAGCTATAATATTCTCTCCTTGCTCACAGTAGATCTCTTGAGCTTTGACAGATCACTTTGCTTCTCTTACCATATCTCGCCAGCGCAACCTCCCTGAAATAAATAAATAAATAAAGGAAAGAAAGAAAGAAAGAAAGAAAGAAAGAAAGAAAGAAAGAAAGAA